TAAATTCAGCAAAGTGGCAGGATAAAATTGACACATGAAACTGTAGAATTATTGTACATTAACAATGAATGGAGACAGAAATGAAGAAATCAACTCCATTTAAAGTAGCCACACACACACAAAATACAACATCTAGGCATAAATATAACGAAGTGAAAGATATTTACTATGATGATTATTATAATAATTATTATTATTATTATTATTTACAGGTTTTTGCTATAGAGTGTGTGCACTGGCCAGAAAGACAGAAAGAAAGAAAGAAAGACAGAAACCACCCCCCCCCTGGGGTGGGGGGATAGTCATGCTGCAATCCCTTTTCCTCCATTCTCCCCTGGGGGCCTTGGGCATGCACACCCCCCGGGATTTGGGACTCAAACGGTGGTCAACTACGTGAGAGTTCAGTGACATAGCCATTATGCCAACTGCTGGTTCCTACTATGAGAATTATTAAAAAATGATTTGGGACTCGAACTGCAGTCGACTACATGGGAGTCCAGTGACATAGCCATTATGCTAACAGCTGGTCCTCAAATTCAACACATTTCCTATCATAATTCTAGTGACATTTTTCACAGAAATAGAAAACAATCATAAAATTTGTCTGGAATCACAAAAGACCCCATATTGCCAAAGCAATACGAGAATTATTAAAAAATGATTTGGGACTCGAACTGCAGTCGACTACATGGGAGTCCAGTGACATAGCCATTATGCTAACAGCTGGTCCTCAAATTCAACACATTTCCTATCATAATTCTAGTGACATTTTTCACAGAAATAGAAAACAATCATAAAATTTGTCTGGAATCACAAAAGACCCCATATTGCCAAAGCAATACTGTGCAAAAAGAGTACTGTTGAAGGCATCTCACTATCTTACTTCAAAATATATTATAAGCTATAATAGCCAAACGGCATGTTACTGACCCAAAAACAGACACATAGACCAATGGAATGGAATAGAAGGGAATAAAACAGAGACTCCAGAAATAAACTCAGCAACATACAGTATACTGATTTTTGAACAGTGGTCACAAGACAATTTAGTGAAGAAAAGATAGTCGTTTATTTTTTTTTAAACATTTCTTAGGAATTATTTATTTAATTTTATTTATTCATTCGTTTATTTTATTTTGACTAGACACACACACACACACACACACACAGAGAAAGAGAGCGAGAGAATGGGAAAGTGACCATGGTCGGCCATGTGGGAGTGTCCAGCGCCTTAATCACCATGCCACCTGCTGGTCCCCAAGAAAAGATAGTCTTTAACAATGGTGCTGGAAAAACAAACAAACAAACAAAACAATGGTGCTAGGAAACTGGACATACACTTGCAGAAAAATGAAATTAAATCCTATCTGTCACCATTGATAAAAGTTAACTGAAAATGGATTAAAGAAACATAAAGCCCCTAGCTATAAAATATTAGAGGAAAACAGGGAAACACTTCAAGATGTTGATGTACACAAAAGTGTTGTTTTTTTTTTTTCTTTTCTTTTCTTTTTCAATAGGGCACATGCATTCTATGGAGAGAGACAGAGAGAGAGAGCCCACCAAGGGGAAAGCACATTCCCTTCTCCTCCATTCTCCTCTTGGGATTTTGTGCATGCACACACATGTACCTGATGTGCTTTTCTTTTTTACCAATTATTTTGTTTAACTTTTTAAAAGAATTATTTTATTTAACTTTATTTATTTATTTACTTATTTATTTATAATTTGGTCAGATAGGGACAGAGTGAGAGAGAGAGAAAGAGAGAGGGAAAGTGAGAAAGCAAGCTGCCAGGTCCAGGACTCGAACAGCTGTCGGCCACATTGGAATCCAGAGCCATCAACCACTATGCCACCTACTGGCTCCCTTCATATGCTTTTCAAGCTACCAGATCTGGGACTCAAATCATGCAGTCAGTTTTGTGGGATCCAGCCACCTTAACCACCACACCACCTGACTGACCCAAAAAGATTTTTTAATAAGTCCCTTACTGCAAGAGCAATAACACACGAAATAGACAAGTAAGAGTCCATCAGGGTTTCCTTTTTCATAGCAAAGGAAAAATACATAAAGAGACAACTCACAGAATAGGAGAAAATATTTTTAAACTATACTTCAGATAAGGGATTGACAATCAGAATATATAAATAACTCATATAGCTCACCTGCAAAAATTCTAGTAATCTAATAAAAAATGAACAATTGCTCTGAGCACACAGCTTTCAAAGGAGAACACAAATGGCTAAAGTGCATATGAAAAAATGTTCAACATCTTATCATAAGGGAAATGTAAATTAAAGCTACAGTGAGATTTCACTTAACTGCTGTCAGAATGGCCATGATCAAGAAAACAAAGAAAAAATGCTGGCTAGTTACAGAGTAAAAGGATCTCTTGTGCACAGCTGACGGGAATGTAAATTAGTACAGCCACTGTGGAAAAGAGTGTGGAAGTTCCTCAGAAATTTAAAAACAGAACTACTGTATGACCCAGTAATTTCATTATTTTACACACACACACACACACACACACACACACACACACACACACTTATACCCAAAGAACAAGAAATAATTTAGTTGGAGGAAAAACACATCCATATTTATTGCATCATTATTCAACATAGTTAGGACATATATTTAACCTAAGTTCCCAAAAATCAATGAATGGATGAGAAAATGTGGCACACACACACAATGGAATACTACTTGGCCATAAAGAACAATTAAATCCTGTCATTTGACACAAGTGGGCAAATCTAGGAGGTATAATGCTAAATGAAATAATCCACACTATAAAAGATAAATATTATATATCCCCATTTAACATATACCAAATGTCTGTACTCTATGCTGGAGACTGAAAGACTTACAAGCATATAAGTAGAAAGAGTAATGGTAGATATCAGAAGCTGCACAGGAGTGGGGTCTGAATGGAGTCTGGGAAAAACATTTTAATGAATACAGGAAGGTATGTAAATAAAGGGAAGAGTTTATGGACCAGTGCACTACAGCAGATGGAAAAAAATGAACATTCAATACATACTTCCTAAAAACAAGCAACCTCCTTCAAAAAAAAAAAAAAAACTAGTAGAACTGTTATTGACTGTGCATAATATAATGCTGTGTACAATGTTCAGTGAAAAGTATATGCATGTACCCTTGATTTGATTATTACACACTGTATGCATGCTCTGGAAAACCATTCTGTACTCTACAAAGATGTACATCAAATATATGTAAACCAAAATTTACAATGAAAAAACAAGCAAAATAATAGACATTGAAAAGGCATTTACTAAAATGTAATCCCTTTCCTTCTTAAATATCAGTATGGAATCTTTGATGTAAACATATAAAGGATAAACATCTTAAGCAATCATCATGAACTCTGATGGGCTTCTCAGAACGTGTTTTCCGAAATGCTAATTTCACAAGTGGAAATCTTATAGTGCAATAATTTGGGAACATGTTACTCACAAGTGGTTCACACCTGAATCACAACGAACATCAATGTGTCAAAGGTCTAAGTGGTGATTCTTTTCTACCTTTTGGTTTTAAGTAAACTATCACTTCCTCAGAGGAATTTTCAAGATTCTTCGTTTGGCCAAACTTTTGTTTGGCTTCTGAATCTTCTGATAGCCCCAACTGTGCACTAGCTTGTAAAACCCAGTTTTAGGAAAGAACCCCACTAAGTTAGTAAGAATTCCCCCAACCTTGTTATCTGATCAGGTTCCTCATCCTCCACTATTCCCTAGGTGATGTTTGACCACCTTGGTCTATCCTCAGTAAGAATCCTGCTAAGTTGACTTAGCCAGTATCTTCCCTTAGCCTTGATGGTTTTTTTTTTTTTTTTTGCCTTGATGTTTTCTTTTGGTAAATTTCCAACCACTGATCCTCACACTGCATCTCCCATTTGCCCCTAGCCCAGGCTGTATTTGGAGTTGATCCCAGTATCTCTCTCCCACTGAAAGAACTTGTTGCCAGTGGTCCCTGTGCCTGTCGCCATGGTCCTGAATAGAATAGTCTTCCGTAATGCGCTTTAACAAACATTCTTAAATAGTTTTTTGCTTTAGCAACAGCCATGTTATTTCAAGTATGTCCCCTTTCTTCCATTCTCTGTCATATTGCTCGACTTTCTTCAGTTGTAGCCAATAATCAAGAGAGCAGCACTAAAATGCAGTGAATCTTAAGAACGTTCTCTGTCTGTGTACTATGATTTACACCATAGTTTCATAGATTTAATCAGCTTCCTCGACTAAAATATTTCGTCTTAAGGAATTTTTAAAGACCTTGTTTTTAAAAAGCCAATTTCTGCAAATGATTATGTAATTTATACTGTATGGATTGCTTTTTGAGAGGTTCACAATGGAATTTCAAGCCTCGCTGTTTCATACTTGCAAAAAAGGAGGCAGTCGCTCTTGCACCGTATCTTTCCTGGAAGTGCGTTGTGCACAATAGAACACATTTTTATGTAGTCCTTTGAGTTCCCCTGATGGAGTGAGTTTGACATTGGCAAGACAGCATTATGATTGCTATCAGTGTTCAAAGGCCACTTCACTTTCTCATAGTTTACTTTATAAAGCGGCCCGGGTGGCCAAACAGCTAAATTATCGCTTATCTTTCTTAGCGCTTTGTGTTGAGATCTGTTTAAGCTGTGGCTTTTCTACCCTTTCTTTTTAGTGTGTGGGTGGTTGGGAGAGGTTTTCAGAATTTAAAGAACTTATTTTTTTCCTATTTTTTTTTCATCTAGTGGTCACAAAATAACCACGTTAAGCCTTTATATTTGAGCAGAACTCTAGCATAGATAAAAATGTATGTTTGCCCCTAATCAGCTGGGCTGAATTTCCATGTTGTATGCAGTAATTCCAACCATAGTTAGATTTTTCTCATAGCTAGCATCCCTATCAGCCCCCTTTAGATAAAAAAAACCTCCCTGTTCCCCAAACTAAGAGTACAGATGGGCAGTTTGACCATATCCATATACTTCTTTCTCCTCCAGGTTCTCATGAACATGGAAGACATCAAAGTCCGTGAAATGCAGATTTTTGACTACAGGAAAAGAATAGCTGAGTCAGAGACTAAGTTAAAACAGCAACAGAACCTGTATGAAGCTGTGAGATCAGACAGGAATCTATACAGCAAAAATCTGGTTGAGGCTCAGGTAAAGAATACATGTTTCTTTATATTTTGATTCCTCTCTGCCCTGGGTTTAAAGCTTGCCTGTTATCTTAGTGGCAGAATTTTAAAATAGATCAAGGAAGAAATTTCACGGAATTCACCTGAAGAAGAAGATGAATTTAGGTAGAACCTCAGGTTGTTTGAAATGGAAATGAAACAACTTACTAGAATATGATCATGGTCCTACTTTGAATTATTATGTGGGATTACCATTCTCTTCTTTCTAATTTTTCAAACTGCTAATAACCACCGTGACTCGGGGGTCAGCCAGACTGCAGGCATTTAATTGCAGAGCTTTGCTTCGAAATCTTTTAGTTAGAATGTTTTTTGTGCTTCCAATTTCTTTTGTAAAATGAGTAAATAAAATGTATGTGTGCATATTTGCAGCATGCATGTGTGTGTACGCCATATTCATTCTGTATGTTTGTATATATCTCATAAAGCAGTTCAAGAGTTAATGCTATAATGTCTTTGATGATCACAAGAGGCAAAGGGATAGTCTAGTCATAATTGCTCAAGAGACCATTATTTTGAGAGTATGTCTCTTAAAATCTCTTAACTAGGTATTGAATTTCCATAGAGACAAAGATGCCTACTTAATTCACTTTCAAACATTTCTTCTTTTCTTTGGCTAGGATGAGATAACAGAAATGAAGCGAAAGTTAAAGATTATGACCCATCAGGTCGATCAGCTGAAAGAAGAAATCTCTGCTAAAGAGTCAGCCCTTGTGAAGCTGCATCTCGAACACCAGCGGATAGAAAAGGAAAAGGAAACGCTGAAGGTACACATGGCATAAGAAGTGGAGTGGGCACAGTGCATCAGCCCACTGGGGCAGCCTCCACTTTCATTGACAGCAGCAAGAAGCAGGTGAAATAGTCAGGGCTGCCTGTGGTCACTGTTGCTAGTTATCCAAACTGACTCACACAGACACTGGGGATGAGCACTACCATCTCCAGGCCAGATTCCTTACAGACTGTGCTTCCAGGAGGAACGGGCGAGCAAGGCAGTGAACATGCACGCACACCTAGCTTGTTTATGCTGGCTATCATACATGAGTGGAAGAGAATCTTGCAGGCCCAAGAAGTTCTTCACCTCTCAGGCTTCCCATGGTTCCTTTGCACACACATGCCAAGTTCAGACCTTGTGACCATACTCCCTCCCCTCTTCCCTACCCCTAAAAGGGCTTCCTGGGCCCTCTATGGGGGATGCTTTGCCCCTCTGCTCCTAGTCATTGTTTACTTCATGTGCATGTGAATTTTCTGCCTGCGATTCCATTAACGACCAGAGCTTTATCCTCATTTGGTTCACCCTCGACCGGGTTCACTCTCCTGTGTGCCTAAGAACATTGTGGTTGCTCCTCCAGGTCACCTCCACCTCTATATATCTTGCTAAAAAAAAACCTTTTAAATCAACTAATTTAGAACATCCTATTTCTACTAACACAATATAAGGGCCCTTTCTAAGAATACATATCAGGTAATGACGCCACTTCCAATCCTTTAATCAAGTATGTTTTACTATGCACGTAACTAAACCGAATGCATTTTTTCTTTTCTGTTCAATCCAACAGATTATCCTTCTATTCCATTTGATCAAAAGGAACTTCTGAGAGAATGATGCCATTTTTATTGTGAAAATGTGTGGGCAAAATACTCATGGATGCTTACGAACCATTTGCAGAAACCATTTAGAACAAAATTAGAGACAGATTATTATGACAATAGGATTCTGTTATTTGATCGTGGGCCAGCAGAGACTGATTTCTGCGCTCATTAGCTTTCAAAGATAGTCCCTGTCTTGAAAACGTCATCTAGCATTGGACAGATTTAATGCCACATTTCCTTGATTCTAAGATGTCATAGATTGAAATATGCACTCTCAACTTAATAACGGGTTTTGTCAACTTAATGATAGGTTTTCGTGGAAATAGAATTACTACATTAAATTAACTTAAGGCACATTTGGTTTGAGAAAGATTAAGCTGTAACAAAAGTGCCCTTGCAAAAAAGACATGGCAGTCGATATATTTACCTGTCTGTGACTTTCATTTCTCCTATTTCAGCTCATGATAGAAAAAGAACAGAAAACTCGGGATTAAAATTCTGCATTAAAATTTATTTATACCTAAAGAAACATACATGTTTTCTAAAATTTGAAAATATCCCAAATCTTTGTCCCTTAGTTTGAAAACAGAGTTTTATGCAAGGCAGTTTGTTCCACACTGGAGCCTGCAGTGGGATGGGGTTTATTTATCACTGAATGAATCAAGAGTGTCTTATTATAAACATTACTTGTCCCAGAGGTCTCATGGACCATGTTAGCCAGTCTTCAACATAATCCATTTCATTTGGTGTATCATCTCTTTCTCTGTCAAGGATGAGATTGATTTTCACCTCTTATTTTCCTAAGTAATGCTTTATTCGAAAGATTATTAATGGGGCACAACCATTGCTCCATAACAGGTGTATAAGGTGGAACAAACTGCCTTCTACAAAATTCTGCTTTAAAATAAGCAGTATCCTTCCTACACAAAGGATCAATTATTCCCAATACCTTAGAGTTTGACTTCAGTTAATATTTGTTTTGATTATGCCTTTCATCATCAGGCAGCTGTACATATAACTCCAAAGAAGCATCATAATAAAATCAAGGGCAACAGGGTTCTGTTCTTTGATCTTGGGCCAGCAGAGTTGGCAGCTGGTGGATATGAAAGAAGATTAAAAGGCTTCTGCTCTGAAGAGTCTACTCCAAATTGGGAATCCCAGGTCTAGATGGCTTTGGGTTACCAATTATAGGAAGATGATTGCTTTGGCCTTAATGTGGAACTAGGATACCTTTTTTTCCCCAGCAATTCCCATTAAGGCAAGAATGAGATACAGAAAAAGGATGCCTACTGATTTATTATTTGAGGCTATCTAAGGCTGACTTGCAGTGGTGCTCTGAGTGGATAATTTTTGCCTATCATTAAGCTTGTTTGACATTCCTTAGAAAAATATGACAGCTCAAATGTTGAGTTTCAGCCTCCTGACTTTTTAGCATAAGAATTTGAATCACTTTCCACGTTGGTCTTTGGATTTCATGCATCTGAAGTTTGCAAACCAAAACCCTGAAGGAAAGGGCAGATTTTCTAGTAACTTGGTGCCAAAAACCATTTATCTTATTATTGTGAGTTCTATAAAGCTATGTGGATACATACTTCCTGCTAGAGGAGGACCCCTTAGCCTCCTTGATAGACTGTGAGTTGCCTACTCCTCTCAGATAATAGATGATCAGTTGTCCCTAGTAGGTCATCCTTGTTCTCATTCATTCCTCCTATCAGAAAAATCCTGCTCTTTCCACATTTCTTTTCTTTTTGCAGTTGCTACTAGGCTCTACTGACTCTTCAGGACTCTAGAAATTGTCAGCACATCATGGTTATGACAGAATGTCAGTAGTTCTCAGTAGACATTGCTGCCTCTGTGTTCATCTGCCCATTGTGTCCCAGTCTTGTTTCATCAGCACTGAAGGAGCCATCTCATTTGGAGTGTCTGCCTTCCAGTCCTAACAAGCCTCCAATTCTGTCTCATCACTTCCCAATCATTCCACATCTAGCTGACAGCACTTTGATTCTTGGTGAATAATTCAGTAGCAAATTCTCTATGTCCAGAGCTCAGCACTGCATTAGGGACTGGCTTCAGGGCACCGTATCCTTTTACTGAGTGGACTCTGTTCGTGACATGGATGGGCAGCAGTCATGCATGAGAGAGAAAATAAGCCTAATTATTCTTGTGGCTAGATGACTTCAGATGGTCCTATTTGTTTTGCTAGATATAAACAGATGACTTCTATGAAACTCAATGAATGTCAGGGTCATGTATGAACAGGTGAGGTTCCTACGAGTATGGCTCTTGAGACACGATTTATGCCTACAGCCAGATTAGATGCTATATAGCTCATAAACACCTATCACACAATTGGATAATTGTGAAAGCAATGACTTCAGGTCCATTCTGCCATCTCATTATAACTCTGTGCCACCAAGAACACGTCTATAGATGCAGAAACTCCGGGCCCCACCTATGACATTGCTTGATGGCCTTTTGGGTGCACAGCAGTTGTTACCATCTTTCCTAGGTGAGACAGCTCAAATTTATAACTGCTAAATGCATTAGACCCGAGGTATTTTGTTGATGTTAACATTTGCTGCCAACGTCTAATGCCACATCTTGTTTACAGCCCATAAATTTATGACATAAGGAGACCACTCAGAATTTTGATATATTATGAAAAAAGTACCCAGCGATGCCAAACGCACGGATGGTTTTACATTTCAGACAGATACTTTTACACACCGTTGATTGCATTTTAATATAACAGGGGTTTCATTTTGTTCTGCTGATGGATTCCGATCAGCTTTTGGCACTTAGGAACAGGGAAGTGAATCTTGTACATCTGGGAAAATAAAAGTTTTATTAAAGAAAGCATGAGCCAAACAGGTATTTTATTGCTGTGTTCACTGTCACCTTTAACAATTATAGAAATAGAAAGCCTTGGTCTTCATTCTCTTTCCTAATAGGTACCTCCTCCCCCCCCCCCCCACCCAG